TGGGATAAATGCAGAGCACTAATTCCGAGTATGGGTCACCATACACAAAAAGTATTTTTTCACTACTTCTCTGCAGCTCTGATTATCTTTGCATTGCATTACATTACATTACAACAAAACAGGAACTGTGATCGAGATTCAAACAAACGCCTCTTTCTGACACGCTTTTTGCTTGAAACGACGGTAGTTCCTAAAATTACCAGTAGATGGTGGTAAGAAACCATGACACACTTGTTTTCTTAGTAAAAACTAAACAGATGTGTATTTGAACTGCAGAGCGAATCATACAGTGGAAATAAATATTTGTATAAATGTACTTTTCTAGAATTTTCTAGCTGTTGTCTTAATCCCCTATTTATCAATTGCATGAACACTTATTTATTCACACCAAGCTTATTATAAGGAAACATCCTTCTTCAGAAATACCCTTTGTAAATGTATTCATAATCATCACCAAAGAAATGTTTTTTTTTTGTTGCTCTGTCTCCTTTTCTGTCATTCATTCTTATATTAGTAATTATTTTTTATTTCCTGATTGTTAACTCCGCACTAGCTTGGGCACTTTTATGACCCAGGGGTTGATTTAAAAAAAAAAAATTTTTTTGTTGCATGAAGGTAAGAAGGTCACTTTAAAACTTTCTTGGAAGCTTTTTACTATGTTTTTAATTTATTATTGCTATTAAATGCTATTAAATGTAAAGGTACATTACAAGAGACTGTTTATTGCCTTGTATTAAACCCAGACATGAAAGTAAATCATAAACATAAACGTAAATGTTCATAAACTATTCTGAGTGAAAACTAAACGTTTCAAAAATTACAACTGTCTTATGGTTGTGACAAAGGTTAGTGTACTTGTTTAATGAAGACAACCCGTGTCATTGAAGAACATGCTTGGGGTGTTACGTGATGTGTAAAAACAAAGAAAATATGAAAATATTATTTGATTAGATTACTAATTAAAATTATTATTTTTTAATTTGTTTTTAAATTATTATTTATTTTATTAAAACAATAAAAAATTAGATGTGCTACAAATGACGCTGTGGTGGAATTTTTCTGACTTCAACGAAAATGACACTAATTACAGATCTTTTCCTACGATTGTATCTCAAATGCAAGTCAATGTCAGTTGAAGAATATAACAGTGTGAGTGTGGGAAATGAGCTTCTTTTTTCAAAACGTTTACGGGGCCAAAAGTGCCCTCTTAGTCAAAGAACGGAGACTTTTATTTTAAAGAAATATCGTCGCTATGGACTTGTTGTGTTGTCATAGTAGCTGTGCTCACGTTTTCGCGTTCCTCGTAGTCGCAGGCTTCACACGCGTGCAGCAGCCTGACAACAGCAGCAGCAGCAGCAGCAGCAGGAGGGAATGGGGAGAGAGGGGCACCGCACCGTTTAACAAGACACTCTTCAACACAACACGACCAAAAAACACTTTACCACCGGTGAGCACCTACAAACACCTCGCGCGTCGATCGCTTGTGTTTTTCCTCTCGTGATCCTGAAATAATCAATAAAAACAACCGAAGCTAACACGAGCTCGCGTGCTAACCACTATCACCCTAAAACCCGTACTGTCCGGCGTACATTTGTTGAAAACTGTTCGTGCATTCAGTCCCTGGCAGTGTACATGCAATAGGGGATCAGTTGTAAGCCGTTTTAAGTGAGGTAAATCAATGCATAATGTGTTTTCTTCTTGCATGACGGTGCCTTTTTAGCTACACGCGTCTGTTAGCCCCTGAAAGACTGATTCACATGGCAGACGTATTGATTATTAGGAAAGTTTCAGATCCGGTGATGTATTTCTTATGTGATCCAATATTAGCATGGTGCAAGAGTCCCGTTTGTGATTGGCAAAGTGACAGATGCATGGTTTTGGGGGCCTCGGGTGTGTTGCGGGCTTTGAAGGCCAAGGTCGCAATGAGGCCTAACTGATATGCATGAACACTAATTTTTAGCATATGATGAATAGTGTTAAGATGCATTTGTGATTGTTAGGATATGTGCAGTGCAGTAAGTATGTTGCTGGAGAACATTGGTTTTAATCTACCTGGCGTCTGTTTGTGTAAGAAACGGGATTTTTGCTTGTGTGCCACCAAGGATTCTTGATTTTATTTGATTTAAATATTGCATCTTAGTTGTATTTTTCTTTTTTTTGTCTTACTATGGCAATACTATGCTATTTGGACTTTACTGGATTTACTAAAACCACAAGTATCTTGTAAATACCATGATGAATGAATATGGTACCGATGATATAGTTGTATTATTACCATGATACTTTAAAATATATAATAGAACTAAAAGTGTGCATGGTACTCCAGATTATATGTCCAATTGTTATTATTATTTATTTTTTAATTTTTTTTAAGTGGTATGTCCCAAGTAGTGGTGCCATGGTACAGTCATAGTATCAGATGGTGCAATTGTGCTTTGATATAAAACATGATCCTTAAATAGAATATGAATATAATCTGCGGGTTAAACCTTCATATTAGGGCTTACTTTAACGTGTTTTAACATGTGTATCCACACACATATATCCGTTGTAAGTCAGTTATTAATATTGATTTAAAAATGTTATGTTATTAAAAGCTGCAATATTTTTCAATAGGACATTTTCAATATAAAAAGGAGTTAGAAATTGTATTACATAACAGAATGAGGTGTTATTGTTAATGTTATTATTAGGGATGCTCCGATCCGCCTTTTTTGCCTCCGAAACCTAGGGTTCGGTATTGGCCGATACCGATTCCGATCCGATACCAGTGAAGTTTTTTTTCCCTCATTTAAGTAAATGTAGAATTTATATATCTCTGTGTGTGGAACTGATAATCATTCTTTCACAATCTACTAGATACAGACTACTTCATTATAAAGAAAAATAAAATAAACAAATATGAAAAAATATAGGCCTATGTAATCCATGACAAAAATGTATCATAAACTAGGTTAGTGGATGATTCGGCAGCAAAAGTTATTCTAGAAAAATCAGTGCACAATAATTTTAGAAATCCAAACATTTAGTGAAAAACAATATTTTGTGGGGAACAAATAAAAGTGTTGCACTAAATATGGTAAAATGTTACACATTGCTATTTGTATTATTATAAAATCCATTCATTAAAAACATTCATGAATGTATTTATAATTAAGTATATACTATAAAATTAAAATACATTTATTTTAAATGTATAGCATATTTTTTAATAAGGCAACAACATATGATAGATACGATAGGACAAAACAAATACAGTGCAGCACGAACTGACATTTATACAGTCAACCCTCAACGGACACCTTGGCAAGTGAATTGCCATTGGCTAGTATATTTTTTTGTTTACTTGCCAGACTGAAATTCTATACTATATAATACTCGGCATCCAACTCACACACTGGCGAGTAAAATCTGAGAATTGATTAGCCATTGGCTAATATTAGACATCATTTAGTCGCCCAGAGTGAAGATTTAGTCGCATATGCGAGTGATTTACTCGCAGTGTAGAGGGTTGACAGTCTGTGAGCACGAAGCGCTTACAATGTGCGCACATTGTAAGTGCTTCGTGTTAAAAAGTGCAAAGCACAAAGGGAAGAGAAATTGATGCGTAGTGTTAGTGTATTATATCTGTGCAACAGTTATTGAGCCTTTCTTTGAACAGTTTCAAATTTCAGTTACTGTGCACGTTAAAAACTATTTATAGTCTTTTTTACGCCTGTGTTTTGTTCTCACAGACATCCGGTAGCAAGTAGGGATGTAACGATTACCGGTTTCACGATACATCACGATAAAATGCCCTGACGGTTATCGTTTAAAATTTAATTATCATCAAAACCATATTTGATTATCGCGCTTTTGAAAACTCGCGGTAAATCCTGTCCAGCCGGCATCAGTCTGACGCAGAAGCAGCATGCAGTGTTGTTGTTGTTTTTTGCACGAGATGAAATGGCGGAAGGCAGTGACCGCGCTCGGGAGATTTTTCAGCCATCTAAGAGGACCAAATCGGTGGTCTGGTCGTATTTTGGCTTTTACAAGAGTCTTGAAGGCAATTTAATCGAGGACGGTCACCCTGTCTGCTGATCTTGCAAGAAGAAAGTCGCTGCAAAAGGGGGAAACGCATCAAATTTGCTCAGTCATCTTCATGACCATTATAGTTATATAGCGAATTCAAGGTAACTTTTACCTCAATACCAAAACTAACTGGGCAAATAATTGGACAAAAAATATTGATTAGAGATTAAATATTTCGTTATCTCACTTGTTTTACGCAAAGCTTCCGCAAAGAAAAGTTTGCAGCAAGTGGCTT